AAAAAAATTAATGTTGTCAAAAACGGCAGAAAAAAACTTTCCATTTTGCCGCTCCGCTGCTCAAACAATGTTTCACTGATCACAATTCCCTGAGGTCATTTTGAAGATAAATGTGTTGAAATCATTTGGAGCAATTTTGAGGCCAATTGGTGAAACGGCCGAGGAGGAGTCGCTTTCCAACCGACATGTATGAAAACTTTTGCTGTTCATTTTTCCATTTTGCAGTGAAATTTATGGGCTTCCTGTTTGTCAGAGGGATTAGCCATAATAACATTTTTTCCATGTCTTGACTTGAGGAACATGTGTACCAAATTACATGGTTCTACGGCAATTTTGACCTTGAACCCCTCCCATAGGCATTTTTAAATTGGCTGTTGTAGGTGGCGCTATAGAGCCAATTTCAAAATTTGAACTTTCATTTGACCTAGACCCAAGAGTTGAACCATGGATTCAAGTTTTGTGCCAATCACACTTTGTTTGTGCAAACGGAAACAATTTTTCTATTGTCAAAAACTGAAAAAAAATACGCCACTTTTTGGCGCTCTGCTGCTCGAACAACGTTTAACTGATCAAAATTCCCTGAAATGATTTTGATGGTACATATGTTGAGATGATGTGGAGCGATTTTGAGGCGAATCGGTGAAACGGCCGAGGCTGGTTTGATGTTTGTGTGAGGTGTACATTTGCAATGAATGGGGAGCGTTTCTCGTCGCCACGGCAACAGGGTAAAAAATAAGCCTTGGACCCAATTAACTTTTTGAATCAAGAGGGCAAAAAAGATTTATGTGCAAAATTTCAAACATTTTGAAAAAACTAAATTTGAAAATGCCCATCTAAAACTTTGAAATAGTCTGTAGGGGGCGCTAATGTGTCAATTTGAATTAATTCACCTTCAAACGACCTAGACCCTAGAGTTGAACAATGGATTAAAGTTTTGTGCAAATCAGACTTTGTTTGTGCAAACGGGAGCAAATTTAATGTTGTCAAAAACGGCCAAAAAAATGTCACATTTTGCCGCTCCGCTGCTCAAACAATCTTTCACTGATCAAAAATCCCTGAGGTCATTTTGAAGGTACATGTGTTGAGATGATGTGGAGCGATTTTGAGGCGAATCGGTGAAACGGCCGAGGAGGAGTCGCTTTCCAACCGACGTATATGAGAATGATTGGTTTTCATTTTTCCATTTTGCAGTGAAATTTATGGGCTTCCTGTTTGTCGGAGGGATTAGCCATAATTACATTTTTTCCATGTCTTGACTTGAGGAACATGTGTACCAAATTACATGGTTCTACAAAAATTTTGACCTCGAACCCCTCCCATAGGCATTTTTAAATTGGCTGTTGTAGGTGGCGCTATAGAGCCAATTTCAAAATTCTAACTTTCAAAACCTAGACCCAAGAGTTGAACCATGGATTCAAGTTTTGTGCAAATCAGACTTTGTTTGTGCAAACAAAAGCAATTTTTCTATTGTCAAAAACTGAAAAAAAACACGCCACTTTTTGGCGCTCCGCTGCTCAAACAACGTTTCACTGATCAAAATTCCCTGAAGTCATTTTGATGGTACATGTGTTGAGATGATGTGGAGCGATTTTGACGTGAATCGGTGAAACGGCCGAGGCTGGTTTGATGTTTGTGTGAGGTGTAAATTTGCAATGAATGGGGAGCGTTTCTCGTCGCCACGGCAACAGGGTAAAAAATAAGCCTTTGACCCTATTGACTTTTTGAATCAAGAGGGAAAAACAGATTTATGCACAAAATTTCAAACATTTTGAAAAAACTAAATTTGAAAATGCCCATCTAAAATTTTGAAATAGTCTGTAGGGGGCGCTAATGTGTCAATTTGAATAACTTCACTTTCAACTGACCTAGACCCTACAGTTGAACAATGTATTAAAGTTTTGTGCAAATCAGACTTTGTTTGTGCAAACGGGAGCAAATTTAATGTTGTCAAAAACGGCCAAAAAAAGGTCACATTTTGCCGCTCCGCTGCTCAAACAATGTTTCACTGATCAAAAATCCCTGAGGTCATTTTGAAGGTACATGTGTTGAGATGATGTGGAGCGATTTTGAGGCGAATCGGTGAAACGGCCGAGGAGGAGTCGCTTTCCAACCGTCATGTATGAAAACTTTTGCTGTTCATTTTTCCATTTTGCAGTGACATTTATGGGCTTCCTGTTTGTCAGGGGGCGGGGCCATAATAATATTTTTTTCTTGTCTTGACTTGAGGAACATGTGTACCAAATCTCATGTTTCTACGACAAACTTGACCTCCGAAAAGTCCCATAGGGGTATTATTTTGGCTGTTGTAGGTGGCGCTGTTCTGTCATTTTTTGAGTCCCATAAAAATAAACACCAAAATATCAAATTTTTCGCCAGGTCTGATTTTTGGGCCAAAATTAACAACTTTTCATGCATGTTCAGGGGGTCAAATTAAGGCTCAAAGTGCAGAAGAAAAAAGAAAGAAAGAAATAAAAAAGGAATTTTTTTTTTAACGTCTCGAGCAAAAACAATATAGGTTTCAATGGCATGTGATACATCATTTTAAAGCGTTTGAGTTTACGCACGCAACTGTCACGTTTTGGTGAGTGACGGGCGCTGACGCGTCCGTCACGCACCGCCACCATTTGTTTTCACCATTGTGAAAGCAATAGGCCCTTACCCCGTTCGGGGCTCGGGCCTAATGATAAAACACATAACTGGCATTTACTAAAGAAACAGTAGGATTTGAGCTCTGTGTTACTTAGCAGATCAGAGCAAGTTTCCGCGCCTTTCCCTCCTCTCAAGTTAGCATATTCTAGGCAATTTAGCAAGTTCTTATCTTCGACTCTTTGTGGAGCTTCTGGAGAGGATGCTCTGCTGGTTTGAGACTGCAACCACTCATCCGAAAAATCATGATCAGGTTCTCTGAACGAATCCGAGGCATCAGTAACAACAGCAGCTGATACGCTGCGAGAGGCGGAAGGTGTGTCCCTGCTCCGGGCTCTTGCTCCGCGCAAATGTGGCTGCAGAGACGGACCTCCACCGGGGTCTCCACTCTCTCCCCTCTCGACCTCACTCACTGATCCGCGAGTCAATCTCTGAAGCAGTGTCAACTGCTTATAACTATTCTTTTTCGCCATCACTCTTGCTATACTATCGCTAAACTAGATTGCTGATCCGTCTCAATGCTACGCTATCATCGCTCGCTCTGCTACAGCAGCACGCTCTCCAAACACTCCCACACTCCTCCTCCTTCTCTCCACTGACTTATGACCTCTCCTGTGGCGCAATACTGCATCCTACTGGTGTTGATTTATCATTACAGGTACATTTTCACTATATATCAGTATTGTGGGTCATTCACAAGGTGCGCCAGACATTACTGTAGCCTCCCGTGTAATAACATGAACGACTCGTCAAACTCGTCATGGGCAGTGAGCGTTACTATTCAACATGACGAGTTTTGTCGTGATTGGGCAGTGAATGAGTTAAAAACTAAAAAAAGGTGTCTCCCTTTCAGCTGAGCAGTGCCAGCCGTTATTATTATAGATTCATGCACTGGCAATTCAAAATACAGATAATATACAAAATATACTTAACAAAATCCACGTATACGTGAGAAAACAACTTACTTTCTGTCTCCAACTCTTTTCAATGTGGAAATGATACATCTATATCTAAAAACTGTGCAGACTGTGTACTTACTAGAGAGGGTTATTCCACGTAAATAAAGCAGGGCAGCGACAGAGGTACAGATTCAACGTCATATCAACGTCTGGGAAGGCATTGCTTTACGTCCAGATGCACACCTTACGTCGTTTAGACGTGGAAAACAGACCGACTCACGTGTCAGGCTGTAACCTCGCATAAGTGTGCGTTGGTTGTTTAGGGTGTTATGTATTTTTTTTTCCCAGTGGTCACAAAACATGCCTGGCGGTGGTGTAGCGGTTGCGTAATGAAACTTCAGTCGCAACGACGCGGGTTCAAATCCCCGTCGGAAATTTTTTGACTTTTCACTTTTTAGCGAACAATTTTTCTGTTTGGTTAAAAACAAATAAACACTCAACATAAGATTATGTAGTGGCTAATAATAAAACTTGTGAACCCATGCATTTGCGTAAAATCTCAAGTGCTCACCCCTTATTTGCAAACTTGAGATTGTTAGCACAACAAATGCATACATTCACAAGTTTTATTATTAACCACTACGTAATCCTATGTTGAGTGTTTATTAGTCTTTAACCAAACAGAAAAACATTGTTCGTTAAAAATCAAAACAAATATGTAAAGATAATAATACACACGCATGGGCTCGAACTCACGTAACCAAGGCTGCACACATTTGCTTAACCACTACACTACCGTCAGGTACACGGACTCTGCTTCACAGCCTATATATTGTATTGCTAGATCAAGACGTACTGCGTCGGACGGCCGATGACCTGTTTTCGACGTCTAGGGGAGGTCGGGATTGAACGTCATATCCACGTATATGGGAGGTCATTGTTTTACGTCCAGATGCGCACCTTGCACAGACGTCGTTTGGACGTAAATAAAAGGTCACGACCGACCGACGCGATATTGACGTGATCTGGAGGTTGAGTGGACGTCGGATGTTTAGTGGGTAGGACAAATATGGCATCTTATACGCCATTTTTTTTTTCTACAACAAGGGTTGTTGTAAACAAGGGTGTTTTATTGTTGCGAAAAATACAATTATTCATGAAACCAAAATAAAGTTGGGTCCTCCAGCTATAAGAAACCTTATTTAGCATTTTAGTTCATGTGAAGAATGTTAAGAGTTAGAGGTGAGAGGCTGGATCCATGTGTTGGAAGGTACCCAGTCTTTAAATGTGTGCAGTTTATGCAGTTATTACCGAACAGGAGTATAGTAAAGTCATGTTAATGTTTTGTTACAGAGGAATTGGCCAAGGGCCTCTACGCACACCCAGCGATCTCCCAGAGGTCCGCGGCTGGTTCAACCGGTGAGGAACACACCCATCCTACCGCTTTTGCCTACAATGTTCAGCGAAGCAAATATGATCAAGGTGGAAAAGGTCTATCCATCTTGTCTGGATGATTGTTCATCAACAGAAGAGGTATTTGCATTGCATGTTGACTCTACAAGAAATTTGACAATGTATTTTAAATTACTACATTACCTTTTTCTTTTGAAAGACTCCTCTTCTGAGGAGTCGCAAACCTGCTGCCCGTCAGAGAAGACGCAGACACCAGAGGTTGGTCAGGGCAGCAGCTGGAGAAGTGACCCACTCCTCACTTCTCACTAAAAAGCCCGTGATAGGGGAGCAACCGGTAAGTGACATTTCTGGTTTTTTCAGAGTTGGCCCTGATGAATAAAATAAAGCCTTGATCCTGCTCTTATTGAAATCTATAAAGGTCATTTGTCTATAGGTGTAATCTGGTTATATCTTTAAGTATCACATTGGTTGAAAAGTTTCCACATATATTAAAGTATTTTATAGTTGCCATTGTTAAAAGTGAGCTGTAACATTTTGAATACAGCAGTACAACCCAGTAAGCAGACTTTGCAGTAGTCTACTACTGGAGATAATTCTAGGAAAAGAGTCTGCTTTATGGTGCTTTCAGACCAGATCATGCGTTGCGTCGGGTTTCAATGCAAAGTCTATGGTGGCTCGCGTTCGACCGTCACAACGCACGTACCTCTCGGCACGCACGAACGGACTGTTCAATAATGACGCACGGACTTCGCGGGAAAGTGAAAAGGGAGGAGCAGGAGCGAAAAATCAACGCCCACAGGAGATGGATTCTGCTCATCCTTTCCTTGGTTGTCGCACAAACGTCCCAATCAGAGAGCAGCAAAGTGGTCACGGGGACATTAGCGGACTGAGCGAGCAGACTGAAAATACTCGTAAACGGCCAAAACAGGACCCACACCAGGCTTCAGCAGAACTCAAACCAGTGTTGACAATGGGGGACTCTGTGCTTGTGAATATATGCGTTGTCATGCTCCTGTGACCTTATGCAACTGCTTTGAGTGTTGTAAGTTGTGTACAGTTTTCCAGATACAGACTTTATTCATTCAAAGAACATTTTAAACTTTTTTGCAGTCTGTGGAAATGAGGCTCCGCCTCCCATTTCCACGCTTCTTGTATCACGGCCGGAGAGCACTGGGGAGGAAACGGATGGAGACGAGGGAGAGAAGCCGCTCACCTCACCCCCCCCCCTTTGCGGACGAAGTGGAATGGCCTCCACTTGTCGCCTCCATGTCTCCGATTCCAGTGACAAGCCAGTCACCTGTCATGTCCACACCGGAGATATTGGAGGAAAACGTTAACAAGGCCATATCACCTGCTGTCTTGAGCCGTTGCTTCCAGCATCAGGTAAGGTTGAGTTAGAATTTTCAGGTTGTCATTTGTATTAAGGAGATCTAATGCATCCTTCTGTCAATAGGAAGAGACAGCATCGCTGGAGAAGGGGAGACCCGGCTTGCCTGACTCCAGCCTAGCGCCGATGGATTCGGAGGTGGTGGTATGTGATCTTGTCTTTTAAATACCTTTTTCATGCAACATTTCTACCACACTAGTGGCAACTTGTATACATGCTACTATTTTGGATGTATGGATTTGCTATGAAACACTGCGTTGGAGGATGTCCGATAATAGCCATGTGACAAGCCACTGGCTTTGTTTTTGGATCACATTGATATTTTGATATTATCAACCTAATGAGGTCTTGTCAGATGAAGAATAATGGAGCTAGTGAGCCAAAATCCATTTTTAAGAAATGTATTCATAAAAGCTTTTGAATAGCAGTAGCTGTATTCCCTTTTTTTCAATTTCATATTCGTGTAAAACTACAACAAACTCATTTTACAGAAGTTTCTGTTGGGATATATTTTTTAAGAAATAATTTTAAATTAATACAAATATGGTAATGTTTAAAAAATTTCAAAACTCCATGTTTTGCAGCATAAATGATGCATTATAATGTTGTATTGTAGGCACATGGCAGTGATCTGGCAAAGGTGATTACACCTAACTGCGTCACCACCCAAGACACCTGTCTGGAGAATGATCAAGACATGCTGGACGCGGTAGGCTTCAATAGTTATGGCACCAATTACATGAAATAAATATGGAAGCATATTATGTGCAAAATAGTGTTATAAAAAATATAATATTTTATATGTATATATATATATATATATACATGTTATTGTTATTACAGCTTTATTTAACATAAAATATCATTGATATTATTTGTTGTTTCTGTAAAAATCATGATGTTATTGCTGCAATTTGATGTTTATTTTCCAAATTGAACCTGCTCTATCTTGATGTGCTTTGAGAGGGGTGCACTGTTTTACATTCACTCTTCTGTTATGGTTTTTCATAATCCTGTGTTAAACTTAAATTTTGTTCAGTAATGTACAAAACATTAGACTTTGATGATAATGAATTTGTCACAATAATGAAACCTGTTTTGTAGGCTAAAAAAGAGTCTGGCTCTCCACTGGTGACTGGTCCTTCGTCTTCCGACTGTCCACCTGTGCCCAGCCCTCCTGCCATCGACCCTCGGACCATGGACCACAGACTTATGACCAATCCTCCCCTTGTTGACCGTCTGACCATCACCCTTTCAGCTGGACCCAGTCAGCCTCCTCTGTGTTCCACCAGCATTCCACCAGCTGTCAAAGAGGAGGGTGCTTCTGCTCCTGGGATCCAAGCTAAGTCCACTACACAGTCTCTACCAGTGCCTTCAGTTGTTAGGGGAAGTTTTAATCAGAGTGATAGTAGGTTTAAATATGCAGGCGTGCAGTGTATGGCTATAGCTCTGGTGGCCTTAGCCCTGCACAATGTTTCCAATGTGTTAGCGTGGAAGCAGAGTGATTTGGATAGGGTTTTGATACTTGGTGATCGGTTGTATAATGAGCGTAGGTATCGTGCAGAGGCTAATCAGGCCACCATGCTGGCTTTTTATGATCTTCCCGAAGAATCTGTTATAGAAGGGAAGTGGTTCAATTTTGTGTACAGCAAGTCGCTAAACGGGGATATAAACGTTGTGTGTGGAGAATTCATAGAAAAGGGTAGCAGTGTGACCTTAGATTGTGCTTTGAAGCAGATTTTTTTGGTGTATGACACATGTCTTTTTACACTTTGTGCAAATACAGTTGCCATAATTAAAGCAGGAGGTTTTTATGCTGTGGTGGACTCACACGCACGTAGTTCTAGTGGATTGCCACATCCTGATGGTAAAAGTGTAGTGTTGTATTTAAGTAGTTTAGATGAGCTATATGCCCATTTTTGCAAATTCGGTCCATTTCGTGGTGAAAGACCGTTTGAGATTATAGGCGTGAGTTTTAAAGACAAAGAGTCTGCAGAAGTTCCTTCTGTACCCCCAACTGCTGTGATTGATTTGGAGGCAGATGTGTATCCACTCACTGACGCTGGTCAGAAGGAACAGTGTGTTACTAGTGTGACAGTTGTTGTAGATGATAGTCAGGGGGATTTCAATCTCATTGAAGCTGCAGAAGCTCCTTTGGTACCCCCAACTGATGTGATTGATTTGGAAACTGTGTGTACTGATGTTGTGAATTTGCTCAGTGAGGCTGACCCATGTGTTACTGGTGTGAGCATTGTTGTACATGATGGTCAGAGTTTCAAGCAAAATGACGCTGCAGAAGTTGTTTCTGTTAACACAAGCGCAGTGATTGACTTGGAGACAGAAGGGAATCAATTCCCAAATGTTGACTTAGATGTATTGTGCACTGGTGTTGTTGATAATGTCATGTTCTTTAATCCACTAAGTGACAGTCAGTGTAAGGGCTTGTGTGGACGGTTTAATGGAGAGTTTGAAAAGCATTGTGCAGTAGATCCAAAAACCAGAGGTCCATTAGGGGCGCCATGTAAAAATGACAAAATAGTTGCAGACGGTAACTGTTTCTTTCGCGCGGTTTCACAAGCCATTAGTGGCACTCAAAAACACCACCTCAAAATTAGACGGGCAATTACCAAACATCTTCGTATTAACCCTGAAAAATACGAAAGTCTGTTGCGCGTAGACTTCTCATCAGTCGATCAATATCTCAATACTTCAAAGATGCATACTGCAAATACGTGGGCGACAGAGGTAGAAATTAAAGTGTGTGCAGATTATCTAGGTGTCGACATATTTACATTTCATGGCGGACGTTGGCTGAAATATAGTTGTACAACTAGGCCTTTGTCAAACCATGGCATTTATCTTGAAAACATTAATAACTCACATTTTGAAAATGTCATTTGTGTTAAAATTCCCAATGAACATAGTTGTTACGAGTGCTGCCAAATAAGCAACAAATCAATGGAGTCCTATAACATTAGACCTAAAAAGGCAGCTCTCCAGGTGCTAGAGTCTAATAGACAAGTAGAAACTAGCGTTAAACGTGCGTTGTCAAAGCATTTGCAAAAGAAAAAATTAAAACATTTGAAAAACAATTACACTCAAAATTGCGACATAATTAAGGGAACGCGTAAATTGGAATACAAAGAAAAGCGACAAGAAATTATAGAAAAGAATTTGAAACGATTCAAGAGTAGTATAGTATATCAAAAGAGGGTCAGGAAAGCAGCTAGGGACAGTAGCAAACACAGGTATCATCATGATGTGGATTTTAAAGAGGAAAAACAAGGAGATGCTAGAAAGAGAAGTAAACACAGATATCATCATGATGTGGATTTTAAAGAGGAAAAACAAGAAGATGCTAGAAAGAGAAGTAAACACAGATATCATCATGATGTGGATTTTAAAGAGGAAAAACAAGAAGATTCTAGAAAGAGAAGTAAACACAGGTATCATGATGTGGATTTTAAAGAGGAAAAACAAGGAGATGCTAGAAAGAGAAGTAAACACAGATATCATCATGATGTGGATTTTAAAGAGGAAAAACAAGGAGATGCTAGAAAGAGAAGTAAACACAGATATCATCATGATGTGGATTTTAAAGAGGAAAAACAAGAAGATTCTAGAAAGAGAAGTAAACACAGGTATCATGATGTGGATTTTAAAGAGGAAAAACAAGGAGATGCTAGAAAGAGAAGTAAACACAGATATCATCATGATGTGGATTTTAAAGAGGAAAAACAAGGAGATGCTAGAAAGAGAAGTAAACACAGATATCATCATGATGTGGATTTTAAAGAGGAAAAACAAGGAGATGCTAGAAAGAGAAGTAAACACAGATATCATCATGTTGTTGGTTTTAAACAGGAAAAAAGCAACAAAGTTAATCAAAGGAACAAACACATTTATAGACACGATAAGAATTTTAGAAAGAGACATATTAAAGTTGTTAGTCAAAGAATCAAACACAATTATGAACACAATGAGGATTTTAACAAGAAATTTAAAGAAGACGTTAATATAAGGTCTAAACAAAATTATAGAGAGAAAGAAGATTATCGGGAAGGAAAAAAGGCAGCTTCCAGGAAGAAAAGTAAAACCATAAATAGACCACTTACAAGAAAAGTTACAAAATGTAACAAAAAAAATCCATTGAGAAGTCGTACACCATTAAGAAAACGTAAACTCAAAATAAATCTACAAGACATTGCTGTTGTAAAGATACAGTTTTTGAAAGATGTCGAACACGGCCCAGAGTACATTTGCTGCGTGTGTTTTAAACTCTTATTTAAACGCCAGGTCTTGTCTTGTAGAAAAAAAGACTTTATGGCTAACCCCAAGTGTGTGAAAATCGCTAATGACTGTATCTCAGAGGTCTATTTGCATGTGTGTAAAAGTGATTGTCCCACACAGTGCTCATTATTAGATTGTAGAGGTAGTTTATGGATCTGCTACACCTGCAACTCAAAGCTCAGAAAGGGTGAAATGCCATCTGAATGCTGGAGGAATCTTTTGGACTTGGATGACATTCCACCTGAACTTGCATGTCTGAACACAGTAGAATCACATTTAGTTGCACTTAACATCAACTTTATGCAAGTTTTAGCTTTGCCCAAAGGTGGTCAGCGAGGGATCCATGGGCCTGTGACATGTGTGCCTTCCAGAGTTCAGGAGTCTGTTAAGTTGTTGCCGCGTAGTAACATGGACGGGTGTTTGTTGGCAGTGAAAATCAAGCGCAAAATGTCATATAAGGGACATTATGAGTATCAGTTTGTAAACACAGAGTTTATACGGCGGGCCATTGCGTTTCTTAAACAATATAATCCCCATTACTTAGAAATTGATTTTGATGAATTGTGGGAAAATGAGTTTGCCAGAAAAAAAGACTCTGTAGAGATGGAAGTAGGTGCAGAGCAGGAGCCAGAACAAGCAGATTTAGATGAGCATTTGCATGATAGACAGGGTCATTGCATGTTCCAGGACACAGTGTTGATGCCTGTAGATATAGGACAGGAAGCTCTAGATCACTTTTTTGATGATGATAATTTGTTGAATTTAGCTCCAGCACAAAATCACATGCATGTGTTTGGTCCCTCAGGTCTTTGTGCGCTGGTTTGCCAACGCAAGACTTTATGAATAAAAAAAATGATATCCAGAATCATGTAAAACCTGCAGCTCCTCCATGCTGAGTGTTAGACACAAGTGCTTTTGTGTGGTGTAGATGCAATCTAGAGCCAAGGACCGGCTAGAAAAATCATGTTTTACTTGAAAGATCTCAATGGGAGACCGTTGGTGCGCGCACAAAATTAAGAAATTACCATCCTAAAATTAGAGCGCAGTTCGCAGTCATACATGCGAAAGATCAAGAAGTGTAAATTCATCATAGGTTTAACAGGGAAAAAGTACGCCGGCTTGCTGCGCGTATAACGCGTACGGTGCTGTACGCGTGATGTGTAAATAAGCAGTTACAGTAGTTCCCATTCCGTTTTGTCGCCTATCACCGTTGAATCACAAGAACTCACGTGTGATTCACAGCGTCTTTGTATTTCCCCCCTCCCAGTGACTTCATGACCAAGAACAACCACCATGTGGCACATGTGAGCAGGTTACATTGGCTGAGTTTCTGCCCCGCGCACATCGACAATCTGGTTAAAACGGCACCTCCTTGTACAGGCCAGTCCTCTGGAATAACCCGCAGACATTAAAACACTGCAAAGAACGTAAACTTTTTGCATCACGTTGGTGATCTTC